ATATATATATAGATATATAGATAGACATCTCTATAGATAGATATATAGATAGATATCTCTATAGATAGATAGATGGATAGATAGATATCTCTATAGATGGATAGATAGATATCTCGATAGATGGATAGATAGATATCTCGATAGATGGATAGATAGATATCTCGATAGATGGATGGATAGATAGATATCTCTATAGATGGATGGATAGATAGATAGATATCTCTATAGATGGATAGATGGATAGATATCTCTATAGATGGATGGATAGATATCTCTATAGATAGATAGATGGATGGATAGATATCTCTATAGATAGATAGATGGATAGATAGATATCTCTATAGATAGATGGATAGATAGATATCTCTATAGATAGATGGATAGATAGATATCTCTATAGATGGATAGATACATGGATAGATAGATATCTCTATAGATGGATAGATAGATATCTCTATAGATAGATAGATGGATGGATAGATAGATAGATAGATATCTCTATAGATGGATAGATAGATATCTCTATAGATGGATAGATGGATATCTCTATAGATGGATAGATAGATATCTCTATAGATGGATAGATGGATATCTCTATAGATGGATAGATGGATATCTCGATAGACAGATCTATATAGCTTTTACATAACTATTAAAATATATATATTACAATCATGTCCATCATATTCATTATAACCTCGCTAATGAGCCTCACCTTATCAGTCCTATTTATTGCTGATAAAAGTGTTAAAGTATTGCAAAATCACGCATTCTTCTTCATGATAATAATCCTTTTCTCCCTTTCCTCTGTGTCCCACCTGTCCGTTCAGCACACCAACTAAAGGCGGCGTAGAGAATCTAGCATTCGACCGCAACACAGACTCTCTGTTTGAGGAGCTGTCGTCTGCAGGAAATGACCTCATAGGAGATGTGGATGAAGGAGCTGACCTGCTGGGTAAGAAGTCTCACTCTGTCAGGAGTAACGATGTAGCCTCAGTCTTTAATTTTACTACCAATTTTACCCTCCTCTCGTATTCTCTGAATTGTCTTTTCTTTGGCTGTCGGGCATTATCATCTATACAGATGAGTTTTCTGGTGTGTGTCAGTGAATTTCCCACTCTATTAACTAGCTCAT